TCGACATGTGCATGGTTATACTCTAGCTCCTAGTTATAATTATAGTGGCTATCAAACGAAAAATATACGTGAGGTTATGAGCGATTTGCAACTCTCATCTATTAAATTTTCCAGACCTATATTACTGTATACACAATAAACAGTAAAACAATGATTACATTTACATCGTTCATACCATACAATAGATCTTTTGTTGTTGTTTGTTTACAGAACCTAAAACCACGATGTAGAGCGCCATTTGTTTAAAATTAATACTATATTATTTTGTTTTTAATTTTAAAATAATTTAGTAATTAGAATTCCTACCATTTATATACGATATACTTCATGTAATTTAAACATTACGGCATTACGCCGACAGTTTCCGAATGCGTGACGATACTGTTTCTGGATACTGGGATATGATGATATAGATATAAAAAGTTTTATAAAACATGTTTGCAGCATGAAGAAAGCACGAGATTGAAACAGTTTAAATAAAATGCAAGCTAAATAAAGACGTTTTGACATGATACAAAACAAGACAATTTCACTTACAAGGGTGACAAGGTAATTTATAGGATTATAGCTTATTCACTTATACTGTATAAATGTGTGTTTCTCTTGTGGGTTTTTTGGAAACAAAATATTATATTTTGCAATTTTAACCCGACATAAATTGATGATATTAAAGTTTAAGACATGTGTAGTGCATGCCCCTTAAGTATATTAACTGTTTACAATATTTGTGGTATATAATGTAGCCATGAATGACCACATGACCCCACAAGATGAACCCCAATGGCTTCTAAATAGAGAATGGATGAAAAGTTCATGAATATTGAACTTTATATGTGAATCAGGTTAAATACAATAATTAGTTAACCTAGCTTTATATAAAATGTACATACATGTTCTAATAATTGTATTTTGCTTCATACAATGCATATGCATGTGTGGAAACATTACGTTATTATTTAGCTCACTCCCCACATTGGGGCTTTTCAGTGACCGATTACATCAAGTATTATGATTACTTATGTTAGCCTAGACTATTTATCTTTACAACAATGAGAATATATTACTTTCCTAACTGTGTTTATATCCTAACCCACCCTGCCAATTTTGCCTTGTAGGAGGAAACCGGAGCAAAATATAAAATTCAATTCCTTTGATAACACCTAAATTGCAATCCCTAAAATTTAATTTTTTTCTTAAATCGCCTAAAATCGCATTAAATCGCAGTGCTTGAAAGGCCCAGTTTTTCCTTAAATCGCCTAAAATCGCATTAAATCGCAGTTCTTGAAAGGCCCAGTTTTTCCTTAAATCGCCTAAAATCGCCCAAAATCGCATTATATCGCAGCGATTTAAGGCGATTTACCGCCCCAGAGTAGGCCTAAGTATTGACTAACATATTAAGAAATTGACTGTCTGACTATGACATCAATGCGCGAAGAATTGACAAGTACCGATACATGCAGCACCCTGACCTTCTTAGAATTTGTCTGACTAGTGTGGTATTCTTATCTATTCCTTAGGAACAAGTTTTGCCGTGATGTTGCCAAATATCACAAATGAAGCGGATGCAAATAAAACAGAGACGGACAGTGAGAGGATGGAATTAATTGCATTTCTGCACCAACTTGATTTAGCAGAAAAAAATATATTAATTATCTTCGCCATTTGTACAATTCTTGGAAACACTTTGGTTTTGGTGGCGACTTGGAGAGAAAGAAGTCTTCATGAACCAAATAAATATTTCATTGCTTGTCTAGCTGTCGCTGATCTTTTGGTTGGTATGATTTTAGAACCATTGAGGGTCTATCAACTCAATCTCGATTATGAATCGATACGTACGATGCCTGTTCATCATATCTATGTCGTTTTATGATATGGATAGATACTTTTGTGTTAGCAGCATCTATTTATACACTGAAATTCATGAGTTTTGACCGATTTATGAAAATCGGGAATCCATTTCGATATCAATCCAGATTGACAACTTCCAAATCATTGAAAATTATCTTTGTCATTTGGTTGATTTCAACTGCCTTTGCCACCTACGCCGCCACTCCTCATTCAGGAAGCTTTGGAATCTTGCAAACAAGTAGTTCGATTTTTTGCTCTGTCGATGACAATGACTATGTCAGAGGATTCTATATTTTTCTTGCAGTAAGTGCATGTTTTCTACCCATCATAGTCATAATAGGTATGTACGCATTCATTTTTGTCGTTGTTCGTACGTAAACGACAAAAGATGCTGAGAAATGGGAAACTTGGTCAAACTTGCAATGGTCGAAACCAACGAGGGGAACTTTTGCAAAATCTGAAAGTTATCCGAATGCTAGTGGTTGTCGTAGGAGTGTTTATACTTTGTTGGGGTCCTTACTTTATTTATATATTGCTTTGGTTGTACTATATAAATTTGATTGGATGGGATAGCAGGTCACTCAGCTACTGGCGTCGGATTTTCTTAGCTGAACTTGTAATATACGTGCTTCCTTATTTTAATAGTCTATGTAATCCTATAGTTTATGCCTGTCTGGATCAAACGTACAAAGTGGATTTCAAAAATCTGTTTCAGCGAATGATGTGTCGACCAAGCCCAAGAAGACAACAATCACCTGAGACAATAAAGTTACGTCCACTGAGAACAAGATAAGGCAACATTTCATTAATACGGGCATACCAGATTGCGCGCTTAAGCTGTATTTTTACTGAATCTTGGTGACCGGAAAACGTTTTATATAATAACTACAGTGAAACACGCAATTTGATTGGTCAACAGCCGTGCAGGATCAGACAATCCTGCACGGGAAATTCTGAACAGAAATTCTT